TCGACGGGGATTTTCGCGCAACGGAATATACAAAAAAAGGGGGATAGGGAGAGGTAGGTAGACGGGGGAGATTGAATGGAGGAGGTGGTACAATGGCAAGCCTATCGGTATTTTCCAGGCGAACGGGGAACCGCGTCTTCCGCGCGTTAAATATTCGTCGCTCGGGACCGAGGCCCAATGGGATTGGGGGATAGAAAAACATCGCGGGCCGATATGCGCTTTCAAAGGAGCTTCTATCGATCTTTTTTCTTTTTTTTCTTTTCGCCTGTTTAGATTAAAAGAAAATATAGCGTCCCGATATTAATACATCGAGGACGTTTTTTTCATAAAATTTTTCTCACACCAGTATTGAAACTATGTAAAAATAATCGATGAATCGTATTTAATACGTACGATAATATAATTGTAATAATTGTACGATAAAGTTAGATGTTTGAATAAGAGCTTTTTTTAGTATCGAGGTACAAGTTTTCTGTTTCTCTTTTTGCTTCCCCGAAATTCTAACGTTAATACAGTAAGAATTTTACGAACCTGTCTTTGGCAACGTGCCGTTTGCGATATATTATTGAGATAAAATAGTGGTAAATTGTAAACTTGGCGATCTGACAATGGATAGGGCGATAGGGGACAATATGTCGTTCATCGTACCACCACTACCACCGCTACTACTCTCCCTCTCTCTCTCGTGGTTGGCGAGAGGAAAAGTCGGGGCCGAGAGCAAGAATTTATTCGAGGGTTAATTGGAAGCGCGTCGCGCGATTTCGCGCGATAAATCTCGTCGTGCGCGTCTCAGAGGACAACGGAGGAGGCGGGGAAAGGGCGTCTCTCGAAATAGTCCAGGGGAACAACGGGTTGCGTCCAACGAGCGAAAATTGAGCCGGACCGCGGCTGAAAATTCGGCCGGAGTCGGGAATTAGAAGTGATGCGCCGAAAACACGAAAGTGGACGTCGCCCTTAATGAAATTGTGCGCTCGAGAGAGTGGCCATTTTCACTGGAAAAAAAAAAAAAATAAATAAAAAAAAGAGGAGAAAGCTCCTTCTCTGTACCGACACTCGATCCACTAATAAATACGAATATACCTAGGGAGGAGGGAGGGGAGGGTGTAGGATAATTTTGACGAGAAAGGATTTGAAAGTATACAGCCAGGTGGAAAAATACAGTGCTCGGATGATGAGTAGAAGTAGTCGTTATCGTTAATTAGGCATTGATTATAAACCGCTGCGTCGAGGCAATAAGAGGATTACGCGGAGAAAAATTGGAAGCTGGGCGTTGGTAGCGTTGAAAAGCGTTCGAGAAAGTTCAAGTACCTATAGATTATGTTTGTGCATAAATTAACTAGGTAACGACGTGCGCTATTTAAATATGTTACACGTAGATGGTTATAATTAAATTGGTATATAATGAAAATAAAGGGCTTCTAATTGTGTATTTCATTCCGAACGAAGGTTAAAATTAATTTTGTCAAATGCGTATTATTTTAATAATTCTCCCCTTTAATTAAAAAACGTCCCCCGCCTAGAGGAACCGTTCGCCTTTCTCAAATTTTTCTTCTTCAAATATTAAAATATCGCGAGTTCTACCCTTTTAACCATCGAGCGAAGTTAGAAACGATTTACCATGCTTCGTAAGATTAAGAGTTAAAAGAATGACAAAGAACTTTTAATTTTCTCGCGCGATTTGCTACGTTCTAGAAAGAAAAAAAAAAGAAAGAAAGAAAAAGAATCTGGAAACTGTCGTTTTGTCGACAGATTTTGTAAATCCGTGTAGTATTAAAGAACAAGGTTGTTTGGGATTATTCGACACGTAACCAAACAATCTCTCTCTCCCTCTCTCTCGCATTCCGTCACTCCGCCAGACGATTTTCAAACGCGTGTGCGTTAAAATCACGGAGGATGGAATGATTTTCCGTGGATACTCTTGGCCACGGCCCAAAAGCTGCGCGTAAAACCGTGTCTTCGCGCAGCTGACACGCGCGGTAATTTCATTATGAGCACATCCGACGAGCCTACGCGTCGGTGAGCGACGCGCGAAAAAATATATTCCCAGGATGACGAGGTTGCTGGTAGCCTAGAGAAAAAAAGAGAGAGAGGGAGAGAGAGAGAAAAAATAGTCGTGGCTATACGAAACGACGATCCACCGGGATGGAAGCGGAGAGACGAGAGATTTCGCGAACCGCGTCGCGCGAAATTTCGTAACACCGCTGCCACCATCGCCACCCGAAATTCTCCACGTTCGCCATTTTCGCCGAAATGAATGTCACCGTGGCTCGTATTTATGGCTGGCTGACTTTGTTTAATGTACTCCTCCTCG